GGGGGGCGAGTGCCGAAGGCACGAAATTTTTAGGGCGGTATGGCGGAGTGCTCCCCAGAAAATTTTTAAAATTTGGATCCCTGAAATGGCATTTGCAGTATTCTGAGAGCCCAAATTTCAGGCTTTCAAAACATTTATTTAACGGTGAATTTTGTTACAAATCATATGCTAAGCGTGAAAAGACGTTTCAGAAAAAATATTTTTGATGATTAAGTACATTTGTGAATAGAATTGCAAGGTGGTTTAACTGTTTCTCGACAAGTCCCACGCATGTCAACTTCTAGAAGCTGACAACTTTGTATGTTTATATATTCGGTTCAGTGCATGCTATGAAGACAATAATACCATGCTCCATTCGATTCAGTGAAACAATATCAACTAATTGCTCACGATAGTTTGTCATTGTAATAATATAGGCTAGCCATACCTTTCCGCGAACAAACCTTCAGCCCCTTCGGACGTATTCTCTTTGTAATAATAGTCTTGTTCGAATCGCTTATCAAAAACATTGTTGACAGTGTCATTTGCGAGCCTATATTTTCAAATTTGCGTCTTTATCACGGATTTTCTATTTCTGGTCCGACCGTGAGCTGATCCCAACCGAAATACAATTTTAAAACGTCAAAACAATGCGTCGTTTTTATCGTATGATTCTGGAAGTGAAAATGCCAGAAATCGATTCTAACGGTAAAGTGCGCATGTACGCGTGATTTTCAACGTCATCCGGCTACGAGAGCTCCTTATTGGCCAAGTATACCGTATTGCCCGCATGCTCCTTTTTTTTTAAATGAAAGCTAGCTAAAAGTATGGGGGGAGGGCGATTGCCCCCTGCCCCCAGTTTCCGTCACTGATACTGAGCATAAATGCATAATTATATGAAACATTGAAACAAGATAAGGTATCGATTTATCAAACACCATTTTAATAATCTTGACTCTAGGTCATAAAAAAGTAGTCAAGTTTTGTTTAATAGTGTTCTTAACAAATTCTCCATTTTCTAAAGTAGAAGGGGGGCTCAGCCCTCCCAGGTCTTGGAGAGGGGGGGCGCCCCCCACTTCTACAGCACTGTGGAGGCTGGCCTTAAGGCATTGCAAGAAGATAGTATTGATAGTGTTGGAGCAGTACATAATCTCAAGAGATCTGAACAGGAAATGAAAAAAATTAATACCTAAAACATTTGAGGACTTGCCATCAATTAAATTTCTCCTCGGAAAGATAAAGAAGGCAGATTCATCAAATATTCATCAAGGAATTGAATTCAATCTGAGAGTTTTGAAAACGCAATAGATTTAGTAAAATCTGCTAAGAACTTCTTTACCGCGAATCTGTGCAAAATTGAATTTGCAGATACATGCAACATTATTGAACTTGTTGAAAAATTCCGGCCAGTTATCTTAGAGCAACGGCTCTCTTTCCATTCCACTACTTATGATATTCTTGAAGAATGGTATGACATGCTCACCTACACAATGAACTTTCTCAAGCCACAAAATACTCTGTACAAGGAGACATGGAACATTTTGTGCAACTATTATTATTATTATTATACGTCTTTATTAAAAATTGAAGTTGCAACAAACGTGCATCTTTACAGTGCATATAAGATATGTATAGATATATATATATATATAGTAATTATTAAAACGTTCAGTGCATATGAGAATTGTTAAATTAGATTATTTACAAATTTAGTATTATTTCTAAATTAAATTATTTACATGCATTATAGTTAATATTATATATCGTATATAACAAAATTTTAAAACTAAAAGTCATTAAAAAGACACTTGTTCAAAAATGATTGTTTAAAACGTTCTGTGTAAACTTTTGGTAACATAAATTGATGATCGCGTTCTCTTAAAGGTCGTCGACGTTCTTCCGGTAACAACTCATATAGGCAATGTTCAGAATTGTGCATGACCTTATTGAACAATAATCGATCCCTCTCCTCAATCATCTTGGCCATTGAATATTTATTCTGAGTGTATCCATATCGGAATGCACGATTGAGAAACTTGTTGAATTTATCAATGTATTTCGCTTGCAAAGCCGATCCCCATACTTCAATTGCATAGTAAAATAACGACAGGATCAATGAATCGAACAATTTAGTAAGTTCATTTAGTGAATATCCGTAGAATTTACAAACTCTCAGGATGTAAATTCGACTTGCTGCTTTTGACAACAAGCTATCTACCTGCTTGTCCCAACAACGTGGGTTTTCTTGAAAGGTGACACCAAGTAGTTTTAACCATTTTTTACGTCGTATTCCATTAATAAGGGGGGGGAGGTATGGCAGGTGAACGAGTACATAGTAACATTTCCCAGGTTTTTTAAAGTTGAGTTTCATTCTATTGTTGCTTGCCCAACTCTCAATGTTAGTTACCTCGTCCAAAGCCGAGTCACCAGACGATGTGACAGGAACACTCACTGTTAAATCATCTGCAAACTTGACCAAATTGTTCGTTTGTGGATGTTTGGCTTCAATGTCGTTGACCATTAACGAAAATAAGAAGGGGCCAAGAACTGTACCTTGAGGTACTCCTCTGTTGATATTAACAAAATTGGTAACAGTTCCATCTGCAGTAACTCTCTGTTTCCTACACGATATAAAATTAATGAGCCAATTGATAATATAAGGATTAAGATTTGTTGATTTCAATTTCTGTGTTAAAATATCGTGGGGGACGCTATCAAACGCTTTACTGAAATCGAAGGATATTACCCGAATGAAGTTAGCCTTATCGTCTAACCATTTTAGCCAATGATGCTGGCACTTTATCAGAGCTGCAGTAGTGTTCGAGTTTTCCCTATAAGCGTACTGGTTCTTACAGATAATCAATTTTGAGGGATGACGAATCTCTTCTTGAAATATGATCCTTTCGAAGAGTCGCATAATAACATTAGTCAACGATATTGGTCTCAATTGATCACATTCGGTTAACGGAGATTCCTTAGGTAATGGGCTTAGATTCGCTAGCTTCCACATACTAGGTACACGCTGCTGTCTCAAAGAAGAATTTAATACATTTGTAAGAACTGGTGCAAGATAGCAGGCAAAATCCCTCCAAACCCAATACGGAATACCATCCGGACCAGGTGATGTTTGTTTTTGTCTCATCATAAAGTTTTCAACAGTTTTGATGTCAACAGTTGGAACTCGAGTTCCTTCAGGGATTGTCAATGGATCAGGTCTCACGTACTCATTATCAGTGTTTATACCTTGGAAGTAAGCATTCATAATTTCTGGATCAATAATATTACTAATATTTTCCGACCTAGATCCTCTCCCAGTAATTTGGTTAACGGTTTTCCACCATTTTCGAGAACCTTGTCTGTAATTGATTTTATCGTCATGAATGGCTTTGACTTGGTTTTCTCGAATAAGTTTATTTATCTTCTGTTGAATTAGGTCAGTATCAACGCCTCTCATAAGTTCCCTATTTCGTACATTACACAGATGCTTAACAAGCGGGGACATAAAAGGTGGA